TAGATTAAGATGCCCTGAGCTGTCTGGCAGCCAAGCAATCATCCCTTTTCAGGTTTGGGGAAATGCCATCAGCCATTCCCAACAGGTGACAACATATGTGACTCAGCCCTTGTTGAGTCCCCAAGTTCCATCAACCTTTTGATGAAACTCTTGTAATTATGACCTGCTGGAACTGGCTTCCGGCAGTCCCCAATATTAATTCTGCAGAAATGGGTGATAACTATAGCTAACATTTAACAATAATTCCTGCCCCTGTGCCTTGTATGTGTTATACCATGAAACTATCACAACAAAAAAAGTGTTGTCGCCCCCACTTTACATATGAGGAACCTGCAGCTCAGAGAGGTGGAGTAACATTATGTGAGTTGACACAGATCATAAAGGGCCAGGTGGGTATTTGATCCCAAGACAATCTAACCCTAAAGGCTTCTTCTGTTTTACATAATGTTGTCTTATCGGTTGCCACCATGCTGGCAAAAACAAAGAAAAATGTGAAAAGATTTCATTCTGTGCTGCAGGAAAAAAAAAAATACCGCAAGTGTTTTCAACCTTAAATCAAATTCACACTTTGCTTTCCTCTCCGCGGTTGTAATGATCAGCCTTTAATCTTCAGGAAATGAATCCTGCTCCTACATCAAAGTGAAGGATGAGTTTTGTTCTTCTGTGACTGATAACAGCTTCGGGAGAGCAAGCAGGACGCCTGATGAGACGGCCATTTTTCTCCTCACTCCTGCTGCCAAGGAGATTGTGGGCTGACCTCACACTGAAATGACAATTCTTTCCTCTGGGGAAGCAGAAGCAAATTGAACAGGAGGCAAGCCTTCCAGCCTCCAGAGAGAGGGGACCTCCAGAAGCCAGCCTACATTTGGCCACTTAAAGCAAGTTGTTTAACTTCACGGGCCTCAGTTTCCCCAATATAAAGAGGGAGAAAGATGATAGCTGTTCCTCCAAGTTGTTGGGCCTCTGGGTAACAGCAGCTCCAGCCCTCCATGGCCCTGAAGAAGCACTGACTCCCAGCAGTGCCTCTGGCAGCAGCCCCACAGAGCTCCTCTCACTCAATGAGTGCTGTCCTGCTTTCCCCAATACCACCAACAGCATCATCATCATCACCATCACTACCATC